ATTCATGGAGGCAGAGGATTTATTGTTTCCTACTTTTTATTTTCAAAGGTTTTAAAATGATAGACACAATAGGGAAGGAATATTATAAGAGGAAAAAAAAAATCAATTATCTTTTAATAACTATCAATTAAAGTCAAATTCTTATCTTATATAAATTAATTACTATCTATTTTTATATAAATAAACTTGAATTATCACCCGAATTCTGATTTTTTTTTATCAAACTCTGATATTTATAAAAATGTATACAGCAATTAGATTTTTTTTTTCCTTTTAAGCAAATTGGGCCATTCTTTCTACCCCCAAAATAAGTGAGAGCAGTATTGGTGAGTCTTATATCTTTCCAAATCCAATGATTGCTCTCATTGGGCTTTGGGGACTTCATTCTATTCTTTATCAACATTATATATTTGTGTTCTCTTCTTAAAGTTTTCTAGTTAAAAAAAAGGGGGGGGGGGGGGGGGGGAAAAAAAAAACAAAAAAAAAAAAAAAAAAAAAAAAAAAAAGAAAAAAAAAAGAAAAATAAAGCAAACAAATTAAGAATTCTTTAAAGTTTGAAAATTGAAAAATAGCAAAAATCTATAACCTCAACTTAAAATAAATAATAAATTGCATTTTAAGAAGCAAAATATTATTTTATTTTACTTGAAAATTTTCAAATTTTTATTTATTGGACTAAAGGTATTTATTAGATTTGCTCAACAAAAGGTATTTATTAGATTTGTTCATTTAATAATGTTGGTAAAAATTCAAATGAAGTTTTTTTCTATAATTTCCAACACAATTTTAATTTTAATCTAAAGTTGAATTTCTATCTTTTCAATTGTGGTTTAACGAAAATCAATATGAAAATTTGTAAAACTCACACTAAAGAATACCATCTTTTAATTTTATTTTTTATTTCTAAATAAAACATCACAAGCTTCTAGTAATTAAACTTTAAAGAATAATAAATTAGTAATTAAACAAACCATAAAATTTTAAATAATTGAATATATATGGCTTATATATTCAATTAAGGTGTTTTGGCTTGTTCAATTACATATGATTGAATTTTTTTAATTATTAATCCAAAATATATTTTTATGTTACCAATAAATAAATTCAATATTTTGTTCAAAGACAATCTAATTACAATAATACTCAAACCTCGCTTGTAAGGTAAGAAATAAACAACCGAAAATTAATAGTATCAACAAAGGAAATAAGAGAGAAAATGTAAGGCAACAAAGGGAACGATTTGAGGGATTAGGCTCAGAATTAATGGAATATTTGAAGAAATCCTTGTATGCAACTGACGGAAAAACTAATTAGCTAGCATATAACCATGCATGGTTTGAGGTAATTTGAATATACAACTTGTAAATTATTTATAAATTTAGTCAAAATCAAATACTAATTTCTACATTAGGTTCATAGCTACTATTTCTCGTTATCCACACATTTCATGAGATTCATTACTATTACTCGTACTATTTTCCTTTATAAACTATTCATAAATTTGTGTGACGGAGGCTAAATCAACTTCTTCAAAATTTAAGTTGTTGGAATTATGAGAATATTGAAATTTTTGATTCCACTGAATTGTGCTAAATTGAACGATTCGATTTCATAATTAAATTTAGGCACGACAGTTCCATTTATAAGATAATCAATAATTCTTGTTTTAGTTTGATTCTCTTTAGAACTGAATCGTATATACTTCTATAAATAATAAATAAGTCACTCCCTTCACTTGCGTGTGATTGTAGGATTGATGCCTAGTATGCTCTTCCTCCCTCCACAGCATTAATTCAGCATCACCATCTTCAACTCATAAAATTTGGGTTACTACCAACCAATGTGATATTAGTTAAATTTACTCTTAAAATAAGCTTGTAAAAGATGACAATTTATTACTCGGTTGTACTTTCTAGTAGCATTTTTGGTAATTCAATTTTAAAAATGAAGTTGACAGGATTATTTTATTTTAGAAAATTGGGCTTAAAATTAAAATTGGAAAATATAAATTAGACACTAATTAGATTTTGTTTAACCAGCCAAAATTAATTTTTAAATGTGTAGCCATTAATAAGCACAAAAACTAAGGAAATATTATATTATTCATATTTGTTTGGAAATTGAATAATAGTAACAAACAACATTGAAGAAAAAACTATAGAAATCGAACGAATATAAGAACAATAGTACTGATCAATATTATTAAACGAAAAGAAACTAGCAACATAAGAACAATAGTACTGATCAATGTTATTAAATTGAAAGAACTAACATTAAAATAAATACAAAGCGAACATTAAACCCTAAACCGGTAGACACTTATTGTTCAGACAAGAACTAGAAACTACATTAATGGTTAAGTTGCCTTGGAGCAATCAGTTGGCTTGAAACTAACCTTGTTATTCACAAGGTCATATCCTACTTGATAATCCATTTGACTTAAGTTCCCATATATGGCCAAATCCGATGAAGGAACCAATGTCAAACAAACCATCCCTTGCTCTACTTCAAGAAATGTACTTGTTGGTGGCAACTCTACATCAGCACCAGTAAAATGAGCAACTATCGTTGGTGCATCAAAGTTTCCACCAGTGACTTGATAGCACAAGTTGAATGAACCTTGAGGGTCCGTCACACGTTTCCCCTTGATAGCCTTTACGATGGCCGATTCCAATTGCTCGTAAATGTCCTCCGGGAGGAAAGTCAACGTTGTCCCGGAATCAATAATGATGTTACCTTGATCAACAGAGGCATAAGAACCTTTTACGGGTTTGTAGACAATTTTAGTGGCCCCAACGCTAACACCTTCCAAATTTAGGTAGTAAAAAGTGTCTGGAGATTTCTTTATCAAGGGAGTGGACACAACATTTGGCCCTGAAACCAACGCATTATTGCCAAAACTTATCTTGCTTGGAACGTTTGGCTCATCAATTCGAGTCAAACAGTATGAGAATTTCCCACCAATGGATTTGTCCAATTGATTTACAATTGAAAGAGCTCCACCTCCTAGCCCTACAATCCCAGAGCCACTTTCATTGAAAGTGCCACCATTTTCATGGCCACAACCAAACGAGATCTTAGGAAAAGAAACTGATTTCCCAGTACTAGATTGAAGACTAAGAGTGTCTGCTGCTAAATCTCCATAACTGTAAGAATTGTCTCCATAAGAAACTGAATACTCACAGACGTTTTTAGTGCCACAATTTGAACTTCCAACAGCAGTACATAGCTGAGATTGACAGGATAAAGTCCTGTAAGTGGTTGAGTTTTTGGGATCAAAAAGTGGTAAATTTTGTTTGTAACAATCTGTACAAGGTGCACATTGTGTCCAAAGCAGGTCACTGCCAGTGTCAGCAATGGCAAGGGTTTCGAAAGATGGCGTTCCAAGGGCGATTTTCATGAGGTATTCTCCATAATTCGACTGGAGTGGGGATTCGATCTTTTTCGTTGAAACTGAGGTAGGGTTGAGTGACGCTTTACGTGAATAAGAACGATGAAACGAATTTTTTAGACGGTCGAATAGTGTGCTATCAGGGTTATAGAATGGTGAAAAAGGAGAGTCGCGATGAAAGAGATCGACTGTGATGCCATTACTGCTGGCATCGATAAGAGAAATCACAGAACAAGAGAAAAACAAAGTTAAAAGGAAATTGGAGAATGCCATGATTGAAAATAGAGATTCTCAAAGAATTATAGAGTTTTTGATGAAAAATTTGAAGTGCTTAATGCAGGAATTTATAGGCTAAGATTACGTGTGAAACTATGGAAAATTAGAAAAATATTTTCTTGAATCAATTAATCTATGAGGAAGAAGAAACGGCCCTCCATATTTACGTTCATGGAATCTTTACCATATTTAAAAAAGAAAAAGAAAATAATTATTTAAAAAATTCAGTTAAAAAATCATGGAATTAACTGAGCCATGCAATCTGTGATTGATTATATTTTCTTTAAATCAAGGATTTCAAAGGCTGAATTTTGAAAATGATTTAATTAGTTGGATTCACTGCATATATTTTGTTCAATGTTTTGGAAAGTATTAATTCATGAACGTAACTTCTATATATACATGTATTAGGCCAACTTGCTACATTCAATTTATGTAATAAGAATGAAGATTATTTTTGTAATTAATTACCATAATCTCGTTTTTTAATTGTCAAAATTTTGAATTTTTAAGCGATATAATTAAAATTGACACTATACTTATTCGTTGAAAATATGATTTACGAGTAATTTATTTTCGAGATTTTATTGTTTATCGTCATCTTCAATGTATTTTGTACACTACGAAGTATTGTTGAATGAGTGGTGGAAAAATCCATTGCTTTATTTAAGAAAAATATTTGGCCGGCATAAACTCACAACGGAAGTTCCAATGGTGTATAGTAGATTAAAGAAGAATTTTCAGTCGTTTCATAAAAATTGAATTTTTAAATGTCTAAAATAATAGGATTTTCAACACGCAAGAATTCAAACACCTTTGGTTAAAATATTGTCATATAGAAGAAAAAAAAAAAAAAAAAAAAAAAAATCAAACCACAAAAAAAAAAAACCCTTTTTTAAAAAAATTTAAAAAAAAAAAAAAAAAAAAAAAAAAAAAAAAAAAAAAAAAAAAAAAAGATAATACTGCTAAAAAAAATAATAATAAAAAATAAAAATCCCTCTAATGTAGTCTGACAATGACTCCGTCAACAGACATGGCAAGAAAAAATAGATATTGTTTAGAGCTCCTTCTGAATGAGGAGGCTCCATTAGATATGCCAAGTCTCTAATAATTTAAGCTATTAAAGGAAAGAGAATTTATGGGGAGAGAATCAATAATTTTGTTTCTATTTTTAGAATATTAGATTCTCTTTCTTTCTTTGTTTTCATTTTATTTATTTTTATTTATGTTGATAAAAGAAACGTATATATAATTATTGAGTTGTGTTTGGAGTCCACTGAATAACTATTTTGTGTTTGACTGTCCATTATTAAAAAGGTTAAACCCCAATTTTGAGAACCCCCACCGTTCCGCCCCGCCCCGCCCATAGAGCTTTGTGAGGGAGGTAAATTGCGTGATGTATCTCAGCAGGTCAGGGAACAAGAGCTGCTTGTACGCTCCTACAAGAAATCCAATTCCATGTATCAGGAATCGAACCCCCACACTGTGGCTGCCAGTAACTCATGAGATAACTCGCTCATATTCTTCGCACTTCTGGACTATGTCTCGGAGGGCATTGTCTGTCCATTATTAGATGTCAATGTTCTATAGACTATAAGTCCAGCTACTTAAATGTCACGATAAAATGCATTGGAGATGTTATAAGAAATACAAATTTTTAGAATGATTATTAGTAATTTTATTTATATTTATTTTGTATACTGAAATTAAATGATATGCTACAAATTCAAAATTTTAATATTGGCTTTTGCCAGAAAAAATAAAAATAAAAATTTAAAAATTAATTAATAAAAGATTATCGCAAAATTTTAAATAATGGTAATTTCTACCTCAAATATTTGCATGATTAACAAGGGCCAGAAAAGGCTCATTAAAGTAACAGACATGCCCAGGAAATTTCTCCCCATCAATATTGATTCGAACAATAAAAGGTGTGACTAATTGTATCAATTAGACTAATAAAGAACAAATCAATGTTGATGAAAGATAACTAGTTACAGAAATGGTAACAGCACAATGTCTTAAAATGAATTGCCCGCATTAACTATAGCGATTTCTGTGGATAATTACTCCCAAGTTATAATGATCAAACAAACCATTTGTACGGTAGTCACAAATAGTTGCAAAACTATCAAATGTACTTAAAAGTGTGTGTGTAATAATAATAATAATAATAATAATAATAATAATAATAATAATAATAATAAATCGAGTATGAAATATTACACAATATGAAAATGAAGATTTCGTTTTTTTTCCAAAACGAGATGTGAGTTTATATAGGCATAATGGATATAACTGCCTCCACTATGATTCAGAAATATTTGCAATATTTAATGACTTGTAGGTAATGGGTTATTAATAATGGATTATTGAAAAACGGTTATACTAAACTGGCAAGTTTAACCCATTAAATAATTTCGAAAATAATTAAAATAATAAAAAATTATTACTTTAATTAAAGAAGCCCAAGGCCCAATCAAAGGCTTTTTAATTATTGCCTGGAATATGATCCAAACCCCCGGTCTCCCACAAAAATTTCACACTTTCCACCAATTGAACGCTTTATCTAAATTAGTTATTTTTTTTACATATTATATATATTATTTAATATCTAACAATCCCTCACATGAAAGAAATAAAATAAATATAAATATTATTCTAGAGTACTGTATAAATCTTGCAGGCTTATGTATCTATTAACTTGAACATTGACTTTGTATATTCCATCGAGATTGCTAACTGTACAGTGAATATGTCTTAAACTCTACAATTATGGTTGCAAACTAAGACAATAGAACACACATAACTTCTAAAACAATCATAGAATTCTTGCGATTGTGTTCATTTTGATCGTGAACTTTCCTAGCATCTTTTAGTGCACTAGAGAATTAGCCCCATATCTCATAGGAAGCAGCCTCACTTCCATGCCTCAAATAGGTGCTTTCTATCAAGGGTGGATTGTATCTAAACCTCCTTCACAAGTCCAAAGTTTGGCTCTTAAGTTCTTGAATATGTGACTTTAATCTCGACCTTCTTCATGAGTCCAATTTGTGGTGATAGTTTTTAATTTTTTGCCTATCATCGATCAATTTTTCATAATATACTTTAAAAAATATAATCACTTAAATTCAACAAGTTAGTAAACAAGATTAACTTGTTTGTTATAATCAAAACTTTAAAGTTATAATCAACCATAAGTCAACAGTTATGACAAATTAAGTTGTGGTAGCTAAAAATTGAGTCACCAAATTAATATTTTATTCTCTTTAATCATGTTCATTTTTTTCTGTGCATAAAAATGCCTAAAACTAGTGTGTAGAGAATATCTTTTGGCAATAATCTGGTCAAATTGGTCAAATAAATAAAATTAGAATAAGAGATAGAAAGTAAACATGTGTCAAGTAGCAACAACTGAAAAAGAGATTAAAAAAAAAAAAAGGAAAAAAGAAAAAAGGAAAGTGAAACTAATTGAACAAGTCTTTTTTAATTAAAGATTAAAGAAGGTAGAGAGAAAAGAAACAAACAAAAAAAACAATGAAGAGAGAGCCAAAATAAAGCTTAAAAAATTAAAAAAGAACAAAGGCGAAGTAGAAGGTAAAAAGGGAGAGAAAGAAGACGGCATTATAAATTTTGCGTGCCTTCATTTTAATTTTGTAATTTCCTGTTGCGGGGTCAGTTATAACGAGAGAATGGAAACATAGAAAAAAAAAATAAAATTATGGGGCCAATTAACCCAACATGACCCATGTGGATTAGCCAGAGCCGGACCTGAGCATAGGCTCAACAGGCCGCTGCCTCAGACCCAGCTCTTTAAGGGGGCCCAAATTTTTTTTCCATTTTTTTTTTTTTTTTGGGTATAACCACTAATTAATGTAAAAGAATCCTCCCATAATTGAGATGTTTTGTAAATATTTTTTACGTTAAGTTTTAAGTTAGCAATTAGTTGTATAGTACACCGTTGAATTTTGATTTACGTTGATTTTGGGGGCCCAATTTATGAAGTTCGCTTCGAGCCCCACGATCACAAGCCTGGCCTTGGGATTAGCCCATGCCCTTCAGTTTATTTATTTATTTATTTTCTAGTTCTTTGTCATCATCCACTCTCTGCCCTTGAAACCGCCATGCACCCATTCAAGTATTATTTTCTTTTTATCAAAACTTGCTCATATAATAGATTTGGGTTATGCCCAGGGCCGTACCTGTGCTTCGCGGGGCCTGAGGCGAACTTCGGAATTTGGGCTCTAGGCCCTAAGTCGTAGCAAACAATCCCTTTTTTAAAAAAGTAAAATAAAAAATTAGAAGTTTACGGAATTAAATTTGTTAACTTAAATCAACAATAAAATAACAAATAAATTTTTTGATGTTCCTTCCTTCTTTTTTCATTAAAATATTTATTCGTTTCTTTTGAACACATGGGCATAATGGGTTAAAAAAAGGGTAAAAAGTAAAAAATGGCCCCCTAAAATTCTGGGCCTGAGGCGGAAGACTCTTGGGCCTCCCATCAGGTCCAGCTCTGGTTATGCCTAGTTCAATTTTCTGATTTTTTTGTGGAAACCAATGGTAATCTTGAAAAGATATTAAAGAAGGAAAGAAACCCAATTTCCAATTCTCTATCTAATTCAGTTACTATGTTTTCTTTTTTGTCACTGTTATGGCGACTTGATGCTAATTTACCGGAGAGTGACAGAGAAGAAATATGTTTTTGAGCTGAGTTCGGTGTAAAAGAAATTACATTTGCTTAATTTTACCTTGGAGATTGTTTCAAGAATCTGAATTTTATAGGGAAAATACTATCTTTTTGTTGTTTGTGATCAAATAATAACAACAATTCTTGAAATGTGAGAATGAGCAATAATTGATTTCCTAATTTTTCTTAAACTGCATGGAATTTCTAATATTACCTTCAACAAGATAACAACCACTTTGCTGAACGTATGGTTGTCAAGAAGTTTTGGATGCAGTACAAGCTAATAAAATCTTCAGATGTTATCGCT